GCAGTGCGCAGCTGTTTTGTAAAATCAATTTAAAATAGTAAATGAACTCTAAAAATTATGAAATTTTGTAGGAATGTTCTAGACATGTAGAATAACATGTCAGAGAAAGAATCTATGAAAAATATTTTCCCAGTTGAGAGAAATAAATATTTGAACACAAATTTACAGTTTCTAAAAAACTGCTGACATACACGATTTTATAAAATCAATTGTACACAGTAAATCAACTCCAAAAATAGTAAAATTTTGAGGGAAGTTTCTAAACATGTAGATAAACATGTCAAAGAAAGAAGTTCTTAAATACCACTTCCCATTTATGAAAACTCATCTGTTTTGTAAAACATGCACGAACATGCACGAATGAAAAACATGATTTTGTAAATTCCATTAAACATAACAAATCAATTCCAAACTTGATGAAACTTTGCGAAATGTTTATAAACATGAAGACAAACATGTTAGAAAAATAATTTCTCAATTTTTATTTCTCAATTGTGAAAACGCATTATTTTGTAAAAACATGCATGAATATGAATTTGTTAAGAACTTGTTTTTGACAAAAAGAGTTTAAACGCATATTGAAACTTTATGAAATGTCTTCACAAACATTATAACACATGAATATAAAGTAAACATGATAAATAAAACAATATCACAAAGTTTTCTCAAAATAGCTCATTTTGTGAGAAAATCCAATATTGTGTGTGTATATGATATTGAGCTTAAAGTATTAAACACACATAATATAAACATATACTAAATATACCCAAGCTTGATGAAGGTCTTCAATGAGCATGACTTGGTAAACATTACGGAAGAAGCTTGTAATTGGATCTTTAACTTGAATTGAATTTGCTTCACTCCACAAACCTATACTAAATTTACCCAAGTTTGATCTTGATCTTCATTGTAGCTCAACTTGGTATACATGCGGATGAAGCTTGAACTTTATCTTTAACTTTGAATTGCAAGGCTTCACCGACATTCCGCTAACCTCCTTTGGATATGATCATTGAAGCTCTATTCCATCCATCCTCCAACTACGTTGTTTGTCTACAATACATAAGAATGTACAAACACTAGACAAACAACATTAGTAGTAAATTGTTTTTAAATCATCATCAAAACAAGAAGGCCAACACCCACTACAAAATAAATTATAAAATCTAAACTATAAAATAAATTACAAGAATTAAATACTATTTAAGTTTGTGATGTGAAAATATGTGAAATAATTTTTTTTTAAAAAATAGAGTGATATATAACACATTATAAATTTTTATAATGTGTTATAATCCAATTTAGGTGAATAAAAAAATAACGTTATCCCTAGACTTCCGTCCAATAATTACATCCAATTATTTGGACTTATAATATATGATATACGACTCAGATTTGGGTAGGAGACGAAGTTTTCTCCCAAAAATGAGCGTTTATTTTATATTATAGGAATAAAAAATTGGTACTGAAATTCGTAATTATTGGATCTGTCCTTCTCGGACGGGTTAGGAATATAGTAGTGCATACATCCAACTTTGTATACTTTGTATATTTTCATTCTTGAAAGTTTTGGCAGCACCTATTCGTTGTTCTCCGTGTACAATAAGCGTATGTTGTTCTGCGTTTCGGGTTATTACTGATACGCATAATAACATCCGCACAGTGTACAGGGAGAACAGCGGGTAGGTGCTGCCGAAATTTTCAAGAAATGAAAATATACAAAGTATATGAAGTTGGATGTAAGCACTACTATATTCTTAATGGATAGAAGCCTTCCTATGACAGCCGCAAGATTAGTGTAATTAGTTTTTACGTATGTTTTATATATATTTTATGTAGATAAATATTCATATTGTTAAATGATATATGAACGTATGTTTGATGTGTGTTGAATGTATAAGAGTAATGGATGTATTAGTAGTTGTGAGACTAATCGTATTTAATATTTATATATAATTTACAGATGAGGATAATTCCTGACAAGTCATGGATAGATATCCCTAGGTATCGTAGATTTCACGACACACGATACAAGGAGGGATGTGAAGCCTTCATGCGTTATACGGAAATGAATCCGAGAAATTTAAGAAGCGGTGCTATGTACTGTCCTTGTTGTAGGTGTAGGAATTTGAAGCTGCTTAATAGAAATGATATACGGATTCACCTAATAAAATCAGGTTTTGATGAGAAATATAAATACTGGAACTGGTATGGGGAGGGTATCACTGAAGATGAGGATCCAAATATGCATGTTGGTACGTCCGGTGGCCAACGAATAGATGACACAGAAACATTGTTGAATGATATTTTTCCTCGACCTACAGAATATGATGTTGATGATAATGTCGAGGATGATATTGGAGACAAAAGTGAAGATGATAACGAAGTTGAAGCTGAAGAGGTATGAGGTGTCACGAGTGTCGAAAATATTAATGATATGCATTCCTCCGCAGAAATAAAGCGAATAATGGAGCTACTAGAAGATAGTGAAAAAGACTTATATGAGGGATGTACCGAGTACTCCAGATTTTCATTTATGCTTAAACTCCTTCATGTTAAGACACTTAGCGGTATGTCAGATAATTATTTTGAAATGCTTCTTGATTTGCTTCGGACTGTAATCCCTGGAGGAGAGAATAGCATACCCCAAACAACTTATCAAGCTGAGAAGATTGTCTCTGCTCTGGGTCTTGATTATAATAAGATTGATGCATGTCCGAATGATTGTATTTTGTACCACAAAGCCAATAAAGACCTTCAAGAGTGTCCGACATGTGGAGTTTCTAGGTGGAAACAGCGCACAAATTCTTCAACAAGGATTACAACGGAGATAGGGATAACACAGAAGAAAATTCCAGTCAAAGTGCTTTGACATTTTCCATTGGCTCCTAGATTGCGAAGATTACACATGAACAAGGAAACGGCAAAGAATATGAGGTGGCATAAGGATGATCGAATAGACGATGGTAAATTAAGACATCCTGCTAATGCTTTAGCTTGGAAGCATGTTGATAAAATTTATCCTCGTTTTGCTGAAGATTGCAAAAATGTAAGACTGGATCTATCAAGCAACGGATTCAATCCATTTGGGGTAATAAGCTATGGCTGGTCTACGTGGCCAGTTGTATTAATGCCATATAATTTACCTCCATTACTTTGTATGAAACAGCCGTTTATGATACTTTCATTACAGATACCCGGTAAGCATGCTCCGGGAAATGATATTGATGTCTACTTAGAGCCTCTAATTGATGAGCTAAAACAATTATGGTCTGAGGGTATTTTAGCATATGATGCCCATTTAAAAGAGTCGTTTAGATTACGTGCTATTCTACTATGGACGATTAATGATTTTCCAGCTTATGCTAATCTGTCAGGGTACTCTACGAAGGGCAAGTGTGCTTGTCCTGTATGTGGTCCAGAATTTGAAGCTATTCAATTACCACATAGCCGAAAGAGTTGTTATTGGTTTAATCGAAGGTGGTTGCCCTTGAGTCATAAGTACAGAAAATTATCAGCTAAGTTTGATGGTACAGTTGAGAAAATAATAAAGCCGCGTCAACTGACAGGTACTGAGATCGTTCAATTACTTGATGGGTTTCCAAAAGTTGTGTTTGGGAAAAAACGCTATTCTAAATTTAACACGCTCGGAGTAAGAGATTACTTAAAGTTAAAAAAGCCATTGAAGCGTAAGCGAAAGGTCCGTAAAATGCAAGTTGAGGACGAAGCCCAAACATTACCTAGATGATGGACTAAATTTAGTATCTTCTTTCAGCTACCTTACTGGCAGAATCTAAAAATCCAACACAACTTAGATGTTATGCATATTGAGAAAAATATATGTGATAACATAGTATCAACTCTCCTACAAGATGCAAACAAGTCGAAGGATGATCTACGGGCATGCCAAGTTCTGACTGCTTTGAATATCCGAAATGATTTGCAAGCTCAAGACGTTGGCCTTAAAAAATTAAAGTTGCATTCGTCTCGTGTTACAATGTCAAATGAGCAGATGCAACGAGTTTGTGAAATTCTCAAATCGGTAAAGTCGTGGGATGGTTACTCTGCTAACATTTCAAATAATGTCCAGGTGCAAGAGAGAAAACTCTTAGGTCTGAAGACACATGATTATCACGTTCTTCTCCATCAATTGCTCCCTGTTGCAATCCGTAACAATATGGATAAAGAAGCGTCGAAGATTATTATTGAGTATTGTGGATTTTTCAGAAAATTATGCTCTAAAGTCATAGATGTAGATGACTTTAAGAAACTTGAAGCCGATGTCCGAGTTACTCTATGCAATATGGAAGTAATATTCACTCCTTCATTTTTTACAATTATGGTCCATCTTACCCAGCATCTTGCAAGAGAGGCTAGAATCGCCGGTCCTGTTATTTATCGTTGGATGCATCCGATTGAAAGGTAATTTACGATTTTTCTTATATTTATTAATTGTATACGTGTTTTTAAAATTACCGTGCTAATAATTAACTTTTATGATTATAAGATACTTGGGCTGCATGAAAAACAATGTTCGCAATCGAGCTCGTCCCGAGGGCTCGATAGCTGAAGGATACGTCGCTAACGAATGCTTTGTGTTTGCATCACGTTACATGCGTAAGAAGAAAACCACATCTCAAGCACCTCAAAAGGAGAGGAAGCGTGAAAAATACCCGAGATCTCTCTTAGATCAAATTCATGCATATGTGTTGGAAAACCTTGATATGTTCGAAGACTATCGAAGGTAACAAATAAAATCTGTAATATAGATGAGAAATATTCATTTTACATATAGTTTATCAATACAAACTTATATATTGTTTATATAGGCGACATCTGGAGAAGCTTAAGAATGAAACAACCGGTAGGAATGCAGCGCACAATATTCAGAAAAGACATAAGAAAGAATTTTCTGATTGGTTAAGATTTGATGTAAGTGTTTTACAATTAATTATTGAACATTCATAATATAACATCGCCTAAATATTCTCAAATTGTTTGTCTTAGGTTGAAAAATCACTTCTTGATGATACTACATTACCAGATGAAATTATTATCCATGCACAACGTCCTTATCACGAAGTGAGATGTTATAATGAGCATTTGGTGAATGGATATAAATTTCGAACGTTAGAGACCGATGATAGGAGGGTAACTCAGAACAGTGGGGTCATGGGCTTGTTTGCTCAAGAATGTTTTTCAAGTATAAGAGATCAGAATCCAATTCTAGCTGACATATTATATTATGGTCAATTAGAAGATATCGTTGAGGTAATTTACGGGTTTGGTAAACCAAAACAATGTATTTACATGATGTTCAAGGTTCGGTGGTGTCCTGCAAAAAAGCAAAAGGATCATTATGTATTTACACTAATCAATCTTCACCGAGAAGTATATACGGATGAGAAATTCATTTTCACAGAACAAGTTGATCAGTGCTTCTATGTGAAAGATCCAAATGTCATGTCTGATTGGGTGGTTTTGTACAAGGAGCCAAGATCTGTTGTTCTTCCTAATAACAATGAAAAAAATATTGAAGAAAGTGAAGATAATTATAGTGAACCAATCGGTTCATCTGATGATGTTTGGCAAGAATTCTCTTACGCACAGAATGTGGCGCTGGATGTAGGTATGAACTATATATGTTACACCACATTATCGATTTTTATCTTATCATAATAAAAACAATAATACATTTCATAACAACATATCTCATGAGCATGTATACAATTTTTTCTTAACAATTGTCTTTATTATATTTGCAGATGAGGAGGATTAGGATGCTCTTTGACCAGCCGGCTGATCGATCACGGAGTATCATGCTAGGTAGTGGTGCTGATGATCCACTACCTTCTCCAGATGTAGGTATAAAAATTAATTATTACTTTAATATATTTTATAAATTTTTAGTTATCTAGCTCATAGTGTTCATTTGTTGCAGATGCGGGATCACCCGGCGGTTCTAATGCAGCACCAGAACAATCCCCCGACACAGGTATTAAATATTTAATAATTGATAACGGTCAATTAAAATTTAATATTATTGATTCTTCTTTCTTATGTAGGTGCTACTTGGACCCCGACATATCCATCATATACATTCCATACTGACTTGCGGCCAAAGACCCAAGACTTTCTCAGTTTACCTTTACCTCCGGACTCTCATAAGTCCAAGGCTGACTCAAGGAAGTACCACCCACGTGCTGCGAGAAGGTATCAGGAAATGCTTCCTATGTTGGAGACTAGGAAAGCTGTTGCACTCGCAGCAAAAGAAAGAGAGATAGCGAATGGTAAATTATATAAATACTTTTAATTTTCATATTTGTATATTATATGATATATTATCATGTTGTAATTATTGTAGGTGCTAAGAAGGATCGCATAGAGGGACGACGTGGCGGAGGTAAGTCTGATTCTAAACAACCGCCAAGAGGAATGAGGGCCATTATTAGGTGGAATAGTTCTAATTTGCCCGTTGGTCCTTGGTCGACCCGATTGAATGCATATATTGGGGTTCTCGTGCGTAGAGCGACCATTATCAACCCTTATTTTCATTTTCGAGAATTACCATGGACCGCATACGAGGCGATATGGACTGCGCTTATGGTAAGTGCATATTGTTTTAGATTTTTATTTATTAATAATTAGTAATTGATATTAAATTAGCCTTACTAAATGTGTATGTAAATCTACAGGGCTGCTTCTGCCTTGAGGACTTTGAGGGGGCTTGGAATTATGTGTTTAATGTTAAGGTTGAAGCAGTCCTCAAACAATGAAGGCATGAGATCAAACATGAAACCTATGACAGGTATGAGGAGGACTGGCAGAGGTTTTTAAACCTCGATGACCGAGTTGACGAGGTTCATTTCACAGCTCTCCTCATGTAGATTCATTTCACGGCTCTCCTCATGTATTGGGATAGCGATGCCGCCAAGGTTAGTTTCATGAAATTTAGTTTATAATTTTAAGATATTATTTCATTTTATATTTACAGAATTTTTTTAAAAGAAAAAATCCACGAAGGGGTCAGAAAATAGAAGAAAGAAGCTGCATGACCATCACTTGGGCTCACACTCCTACACCAATCTGGAGGATGTTTATTGTCAAGATACGGTATATGTCATTTAAAGATTTAAAAGATCTTAATGTTTAGTATGATTATGAAATCTCATAATTTATAATATGACAGGGGAAATCATTAATGCCGATACACTTGAGGGCCAGAGCGGCATATGGTACTTTTCGTGAACAATATAGGGGTGATGAGAGGAATCGGGATAAGATCACGGCAAATCTCGAGTTAGTGGTGAGACTTATACATATCTTTAGTAGTATTATTAATTCTATTTTGTTAACATTACGAGGAAACAAGAACACAAATAATATGGTCATTATCTTGAATTAACTATAAATATGTGGTTTAGGAGGGATTTGAGACTGCATCCAAGGAGGCTGCATCTGTGTACATTTCGCAGGAGGAGGAATAAACTGAGTCGGACCCTCACATGCTTTCTGTAGAGGAGAACATCAATCTCACACAGAACTTGATGGGTCATAATAGGTAAGGATGGTGAAAAATCGAATCAATTTGAATACTACACACTATTTATATTTGTTTACCATTATTGAATTTGAGAGCAAAGTTTAATATTTATTTCTCCCTAATAATAGGAGAGGAAGATATCCTCTGCATGGTGTCGGAGCTTCACCCGGTATAAGCATTAGATCGTCCACAGCATCCTCCACACCATCTACATCGCATAGAGCAGCCACAAGCAGTTTCCAGGCTATGCCATTTGTCGCACGTATCTCTGCCTTCTTGATTAACAAAATTGACTCGGAGCTGCATATTAGGTGACTAATGAGATGACTAGAGTTGCGCTGACGGCGAACTCGATGGACGATCTCATGGGGTTTGTTATACAATATTTAGGCAGTGCTATTCCTTATAGCGCGTATGGTGGTGTCATACGGATCATTAGCTCGATTGGCGATAATTTTGGCGCTAGACAGAGTAGTGCTCAGGTACCTTATTTTTTCTTATATTTATAAATTCATTTTTATCTAATATGTTATCAAACACCACATAATGATTATTCAATTAAACATTCAGAGTGGAGATATTGGAGGGAGCAGCACCCGTTCTCGTAATCGGGATAGAGATACCCCCGCCGACGACGATGGATGAGGTTTTTAATTTTTAATGCAATAAACAGTTTTATTTGTTATAACACTACATTTATTCATGTCGTGTATCATATCTTAGTCATGTGCATTGTTAGTATATATGTTGTTGGATGTGTTTTTGACGGAACTGATTGATGTATATTTTGAAGTGGATGGTTGGATTTGTACAATGTGTTGGATTTGGTTATATAGATGTTTTCTAATGGAATTGTTATAAATTTTGATTATGATTGGATGGTTGAATGTGACGTGTACAGTATTTTCTGGATGTATTCAAATATTAATGTAATTGTACAGGGAAATACAAATTTTAATTAATTTTTTTCCCTGAAAAAAAGCAATCTAGACGGAATTCCGTCTATATTGAGTCAACCTAGACGGAATTTCCATCTAGGTTGTAAAAAACCAACCTAGACGGAAATTCCGTCTAGGTTGACAGACCAGACGGAATTCCGTCTGGTCTGTCAACCTAGACGGAATTCTTTATTCTGTCTAGGTTGACTTCCGTCTAGATTGATCAACCTAGACGGAATTCCGTCTAGTTTGTATCAATCTAGACGGAAACAAAATAAACCACCCAAACTAGACGGAATTCCGTCTAGATGACCTAATCTAGACAGAATTTCAATCAACCTAGACGGAAATTTCCGTCTAGGTTGATCGTTTTTCTACTAGTGCTAACTTGCGCCCCCGCCTAGGTTCCATTGGCGAAAAAGAAGAAGAACAGTGGGAAAAGCTATTAAATTTTGGATTAAGATCTTCAAATGTGAGTTTGATTGATTCGGAAGATCAATCTAAGCTCGGATCTGATGAAGATGATGATGGAGAAAACTCAATTATGGGTTCAACTGGTCCAAAGGGAGGAAAGAAATCAAAATCAATGGCGGAGATCTTGAATTTTTCAAAATTAGTGCAAGATCTTGGACTGGCTTAAGATGCAATTTCTCCGATGACAGTGATCTTGAATTCTTCAAATTTAGTGCAAGATCCTAGTCTGGTACAAGTTACAACTTCTCCAATGACTGGTGCCCACAATCCAATGACCGGTGCCCTTGAATCTTAATGGAGTGAGTAGTTCTGCTAGGGTTTCTTGGGCTGAAGAATCTGAAATGGAGAATAATTCATTTGTTTCTTCATTCTTGCATGATTCTAGTAATATTCCCTTGAATTCAAATTTGGTTGCTGGGGTTACTGTACCATTAGGTTCCAATGTGGGATCTATTGGTGAATCTATTAGTCCTGATTTTCCCCCTTTGGAGCCTTCATAAGTTTCTATCAATTCATCTCAAGAAACAATATGTCCAAAAGCTAGATAAGCTTGTTTGTTGATAATAGAAAATAAGGTTGTGGTTTGGAATTGGATTTTGTGCCATCTGAGGCTAAAGATTCAGTCATTTTTAGTGATGAAGAATGGAATGAGGGTGCATCAATGTGACAGTTCTCCTTAATAGGTCAGGTCTTGGGTTTAAATGTTAGATTCAAGGCTATGGAAAATTATGTTCAAAAAATTTGGATTCATACGCCTGAAGTTTGTTTATTAAAGGCTGGTCTATTTCTGTTTAAATTCAAAAGTAAAGATGAGATGAATGACATTCTAAGTAAGGGTCATTGGTTCTTTGGTTCTAGACCTTTGCTTTTGAAACCTTGGGCCATTGATGATGACATTGGCAAATCTAATGAATGTATTTACCCCTTCTGGATACAATTGCTAGAATTGAGGCTCAATTTGTAGAATGCTAAAAGTATCAGCAAAATTACAAGTATCATTGGGCGGCCTATTGTAATAGATAAGCTAACTGATAATAAACAAATGCTGGTGTATGCTAGGGTCTTGGTGGAAGTTAAAATGCTCTCTCCCCTCCCTGATCATATCACTATTCAAGGCCCTAATGGAAAACAATTTAGTCAGAAAGGTGATATATGAATTCAAGCCTAAATGGTGTGATATGTGTAAATTTGTTGGGCATGATACTATTTTTTTTTAAACATCCTAGAGTCCAAAGATGGATTCCTAAGGGAAAATTAGTGACTGGAAATGCTCAAAAGAATTAATTTTCCTAATTCTGTCACTCAGGTGCATGAAAGGAATATTATGAATCAAACAATAGAAATGGAAAATGGTAGGGGAAATACAACGAAACATTAAATGCATGTTGTGCATGCCTGGCGGGCTAGTTTAATAAATGTTGGTCCAGGTTTTGTGCAACAGGAGTCTATACCAGTGAAGGTGAACATTCAGGCACCTGGAAAGGATAATGAGAATAATTTGCATATTGTTCCCAATTCTGTCACTCAGATGCATGAAAGGAATTTTTTTAATCAGACTTTAGAAGGGGGGAATGTTGGCATTCTTGTTTTGATGATGATTTAACAAACACTTTACGACTAATATTATTTTTAGTATTTTGTTTTGTGTTGTTTAGTATACATAGGAAAATGAGCTACAATGATATTGAAGTCTATGCAAACTAAGTCAACCAATCAAATTCAAGCTTCAGAAGATTCAATCTTGGTATACTTAGAATAGATTTATATATAATGTGTGCTATTTCTATAAGCTCAAATTTACACACACATACATGTTTTGATTTTGTATATAGTTATATATATACATATATGTTTTGGTTTAGATATATAGATACGAAACAATATATATCTTTATTTTCACATTTATGAGTTTCATATTCTATTGAATTTGTAAAATATTATGTTTATAGATAAATATTATATTTATGGATTGAAGACTTATTCACACTATTTTTATATCTTGTATAAGTCTATAAATTCTAAAGTGTGTCAAAGCTTTGTTTAAGTCATTTTGTCAAAATCATGTGTTTCGATATTTCGCATTTTATCCGATTTTGCAGAATAATGAGATTTTACAAATGGAAAGTGCTATTTGAAAATTAGTTTTTGTAACATGTTCATTTTCATGTTTACAAACATTCTCCAAAGTTTTACATTTTTCAGAATTTATTTGCTATTTTTAAAGGTAGTTTAAAAATTAGCATTTTTGTTTTAAAACTGTGCATGTCATATATCTGTCCGCGGTCGACCGGAGTGGTAGCGATGGTTGACCATGAATTGTCCAGAGACTTTCCCTATTTTTTAGCCTTTCGCGGTCGACCGGACTTGACACTGCGGTCGACCGCCAAGTTAGCCGTTGCACAGTAACGGCTTGTTTCCAGCTTAGATTATTTTAATATTTTTAAGTGTTTTTGTTGGATTCTTAGGCTGGTTTCTTCAAGCCTATAAATACCTTTTTCCATTAACTATTTCCAATAACCCAAGTGAGTTTTAAACAACTTTTAAAAGATTTTAAAAGTTTGATTTAGTTTATTTTAAGTTTGGAGTTTGGTTTTCACAAAGAAGAGATTACATCTTTGGTTGAGGATTCATCCTCAATATCTCATCATCCACTCGTTGTGTTTATAGAGAAGTTTCTCTAACTCATTACCTAGCATTTTAATTCTTGAATTTTATATCAATTTTATTGCTAGTTCTTTTTAAGTTAGATTTTATTTATACTCATTTATCACACATACATCCCTATTGAGCTTTTAGGATTACATACACTATATTGTGGGTTGTAGTGAGTGATATTGTGAGAGTGAGCTTCATTGTGTTCTCATTCATAATTAGAAAACAAATCTTGTAATTGAGCCTTATTGTGAGAGTATCACTTTGTAATACATATTTACACTGAGAGGATTGTGTGGTGAGGACGTAGTCGATACCAAGAGGAGTGGCATCAGTAGTAAACCCTAGTGAGAGGTAGTACAGTCAGGCACTTGAGGGAGACGATACGTAAGGACCAACACTTGAGGTTGTAGTTTTGTATGTACATTGTGAGTGGCTTGTAGAGTTTTTGGTGAACTATAAACCGAGTGTATAGAGAAGTTCCGGCTTCCAAACCGGGTGTGTTGTGATAGTGGATTCTCCCCGGGAGTGGGGAGCGGATACGTAGGACGGAAGGTCCGAAATCTGTGATCATATTATTATGTTTGGATTGCTCTTTGTGTCCACTATTTGTTTACACTATCACTCTTGTTTATTTTCTCGTGTTTATATCCTTACATATATCTCATTGTGCATCTCATTGATAGGATATTGCCCTTTGTTTATATAGCTTATTCTTGCTCATATCACATTGTATATCTATCTTGTAAGAATAATTTGTTAATAAGTTTTAATTGGCATTTAATAGGATTAGATTAGCATAAATCCTATTCACCCCCCTCTAAGGTGCTTACATGGAATGATAGTGGA